CCTAATTTAGAATGACGTAATATATGGACGGCCCCTTATCGAAAATGTAAATCATTCGATTCATAAGTTGCAGACATATCACCTTTAAAAAGGAATAAAAAGATATTTTCATATTAAAGTACATATAACCTCAAATCTAGGTAGCGTCTATATAAGCCATTTGTACATAAGGATTTGTACAAATATAGACAGAACAGTAATATAATAATTAAAATTGAATCTAAGAAATGTATAATATAGATAGGTTTGTATTTCTTTTCTTAATATTAAATATTGTTTATGTCGAATCTTTAAAACGTAATTAAGTGCATGAAACATGTAAATAATAAAATTTTCATTCAATATATAAAAATATTTTAGGCTATGAGTGCCATTAACTTTATTTTGTTTAATCTGTATTCTAGTTAATAAATAAAATAAACATCGTAATAATGCAACGAAATTACTTGGTTAATGTATTGAACATCGTTAAATTTAATTAACGATGTAACTCGATGTATTGTAATTTTTACATATTAAAATATAATATTTATGTCCACTTTTATTTCTTTTACCCTGATTCGTAACGTTATTTTCAGGTAAAGTATCTCGCTTTTCGACGAATTGTCCACGAACTCCATCCGATACATGCAAGAATGATTACATTTTTATTAATTAAACTAGCTGTTCTCGTGCGGCTTCATCCGCATGAAATTATAAATTTATTGTTTGCATTTGTCACATTGTCAATTGCAAATGTCAAAATACCAATTACCTTGCTTTCTTGATGTTGACAGCAACTTATGGTCTCTTTCACACATTAGGGTTTTTATCCAAAATATTTAGCCCTTTAGTTTTTTATTTAGTTTAATAGCGTGGAAGTATATAGCCTAAAGCGTGACGTAAGTGTAGGGCTTTTTATTAAAAAAGAGTTATTCAAAAATGTGGTGTCATTGCTGACATCTTAGGCAACAAAGAAGTGTGTGTTTACGCTTTATTACAATAGAAGTATAGATATACATTTAATAAAAGCATTACGAAAAGCGGCAGAGGTCACCAAATGTAAACAAATTTACGTCCATAGATATCTAAATCATAGAAAATGCTTATACGTTGCTGCCCTTTAAATTCTAAAGCGTTTTAGCAGAGAACTTTCAGAAGATGAAAGTTATGTCTCCATCTAGCGGCCGCGTTCGAAACTAGTTTGAAGTTACAAAGATTTATATGCGAACATTCAGGTATGTGTAAAGTTTAAACAGTGCCATCTAGCGGAGAGTTAGTTATGTATTAAAATAAATTAGAATTATTTAACTCAATTATAAGTCTACAAGTCAATCCACATAATAAACATTTTAACTAAAGGCTATATTGAACTTTTCAATAAGCTTCTTGAACTTAGCTTTGACATGACAATGTGCCATTCTTCTTCTTCTTGTCCTATGTACCCAAAGTGGGGCAGAGGGCGTCCCTAGTGCGCCGCCAGTTCGCTCTATCGCTCTATCCTGGGCTCTGCGTTTTATCTCGGTTATAAATGTGTCATTTTTAATTTAAAAAGGGTAGAGAGTATGAAATCATCGTACCATACTCACGAGAGTTTCCTAGTACTTGATATAGGCATCTTTTCTTTATAAATATTAATGTTACATGTCATTTGTCATACCTTTTGTATAGGCTTGGTGTGAAATTTTTTCCTTAACTGTTGCGAGTGCGTGATGAAAATGCAATTAAATGCGTGTGTTGAAAACACGCACTTTTTTGGCTCCGTACCAAATAGACGCTTTCTAGTAACTGGGTTCAATTGCTTTCTGTTTACATGTTTTGAACTGTTTGAAAGTTGAACTATTGGTTCTTAAGATTTCCACTGTTAAAAGAATATTTTTGTTGCAGCAAAGCAGTTTTACAGTAGAAAGATATAATTAGTAGACAGTTTGCATTTTAAACTTTATTAATAGGATTTTTTATAGATTTTAGAACTCTAATACACGCAAATATTAAGGTAGAAATACACGTGTCAATAAAATAAGATTTTAGCTGGCGAGTCAGTTACTAATCTTACTTCTTACTAATCTTACTAATATTATAAATGCGAAAGTTTAGATGGATGTTTGTTAGAGTTTGTAGCCTAAACGGCTGATCGGATCATGATGAAATTTGTCATAGATGTAGAGCATAGTCTGGAAGAACACATAGGCTACTCACTTTTGTTTTTTTTAAATTCCACGCGCGGACGTAGTCGTGGGCGAAAGCTAGTATACATATAACAGTAAAATGTCAACCTTTGTACCCATATCCTTGTATTTACTTGTAAGATTGCATAACATTTTGTATAAATAAAACTGATTATTATATTATTGTGTGCAATCGTGCAAGCGTTTTAATTTATAAATTGTTTTCATTGTTTTCGATATTTACAATTTGTAAATGGATAATTTGAAACATTCGATATTTACTTCTTACAATGTAATTAATGTCCATTTTTCAAAACTTTCGTGTTTATAATATTTTTAACATATTAAATTTCTATACTTATATTCTAACTAGCTGTTCCCGTGCGGCTTCATCCGCATGAAATTATGAAAATATTATATCATTATTTACGTTTGTCAAATTATCAATAGCAAATGTCAAAATGACATTACATAATAAACCATAGCAATCTTGCTTCCTTGATGTTGGCAGCAACTTATCGTCTCGTTTCGTCATTAGGGTTTTTATCTAAAATATTCACCCCTAAGTTTAATGGCGTGAAAATATATAGTATTAAGCATGACGTAAGTGTAGGGCTTTTTATTAAAAAAATAATTATTTAAAAATATACTGTAATTGCTGACATCTTAGGCAACAAAGAAGTGTGTTTACGCTTTATTATAATAGTATAGATAGATAATTGAAATAGATCTGAATTGTAAGAAATTCCAATATTTCTATAGTATTATTCTTTACAAAAGACAATCTTTAAATTGCATTTAAATTATTTCATTCATTTAAAACAAAGCCATAACATTTTTAGCATTAAAGACAATGAAATGGCTTTTCAAACTTGTTCTTTTATTGATAAGAAAATATGAAGTGAATATCGACACGAGAGTTTCGATATTTCTTAGATTTGATATATTTTTTATTATTATCTTTCAAGAGATAAGTGAGGATACCGTTTTCTAAATTAAGTCATCATCTTCGTATGGCAATATATCTTCAGTTACATTTAACTGTATTTTCTGGTAATAATTTGTTATTTTTTGAAAATATAAAAAGGAAGAAATTGAGTATGACAAAACATATTGAAGTCGTATTTATATTGGGAATTAAACCAAGGAGGCAAATGAAAGGGTTATTTTGCTCGTTAATTTTTTTTCAAAACTGATACAAAACCTATAAAATAAATGTTTAGTTTATCAGTGTTAGTGATTGTTACTACGTTGCATGAGGAGGCAAATTAAAAAAGCTCTCAATATTCAAAGTGAAAGCTTCAGAAATATAATAAATAAACGGATGAGCAATGCAATAAACGTTTATGTCCAAAATTGTAATTTTTAAAAGAAGCGCGCACTTTCACTGAATAATTATTTTTTTTATATCATTAACAAAGAAACGAGTGGAAGGCGGCCAGTCACAACAGATTATAATAAAATAATTTCTGACAAATTCGTTTCAAAAAGATTTGTACTATTTTAATTGTAAACTATTATATTTTAATAAAATTGTTAACATAAATCCTGTACAGAAAATTTTCCTTTCGTAATGTCAAAATTAGTAGAATATCGTGTTTTTTTTTATTAGAAAACAACATGAATGAAAAGTATCATTTTGTTTTTTACGTGTACAATCTATAATTAATATCGAATATTTAAAATACACCTGTTTAGATGTAAAAAAATAAACGGCAACTTTGGCAGCGTTACAATTACGATTGTCCGAGTTCAAAACAACTGCATCGCAAAACGTCTACGCGAGCAATTTCTTCGACAGTTGACCATCGTCCGGCGCTTGCATAGCACGTATCCGAAACGCACTGCTCACGGCTCCACATCTCACATGCCTTTGTCACGCGATTTAAAAAAACAACTGTCAATCGATGCTCCCGCGCGTTCTTAATTTTTAACGCGGGAATTTCAATTGTGATGTGTCATTTGTGACCGTGAAAAACAGTTTTGATCTTAAATTTTTGTTTCGATGAAAAGTTTTTAATTATTTATACTATTCCGGAAAGTAAAGCTACGCTTAATCCTGGATTTTTTTATTGGAGCTCTATTATGGTAAGTTTATCATTATAGTAAATTGAATAGTATTTATTTAAAATTTATTTATTTTATCAAATAAAAAAAAAACAGAAAAAGACACTTCATTTTTTCGTGACTATCAAGATGATTTTGTGTACAAATTTTAAAATAATTTTTAATCAATAAATAAATAAAAATAAAATAAACAGTACATACTTCTGATTTAACCTTGCAATATAAAATCTATACGTACCGTACATTAAGACATAAACCAATAAAATGTTTTATTACTCAATCAAGCGACAAAAGAAGCACTTTACGACGGTTCTTTAATCTGTGGAAGTTGCAAGATTTGATTCTTAGAGACATCTTGGAGAAAAGGGTATTGACATAAAAACATCTGTTGCTATACCAATTGAATGTGAGTCTTGAGAAATAGTTTTAAATAGATCATTGAAGATTCCAACCGCAAAGATATAACGAATCACAATATTTAGGTTAATATTCTACACTTCACATTGCAGCTCATGAGTTTAGATTTATATTTACTTAGGCAGCATAATATTTCTAGAATCGTAGCCACATACAATACAACGCGGATTATTCCCAACCGTCACCTCGCTCTGTCCCCATGTCTGACTAAAAAGTTTTATCCGTCCCACTTTTTAGTCCCACTATTACCAATAAGGTGACAGATGGAACCGTTATGATATAAAATAAGTTCAAACCGTCCCCTCGTCGCTAAACGTGGGTCGGATGAAACTTTGTATTTTCATGTGCTCCCATGTGGGGACAGAGCGGGGTGACGGTTGGGAATAATCCGACAACGCAACATTAACGTCCACTGAAGATGACCATAGCATTATTAATGACTAGGTGTTCCACGAGTGAAATTAAAAAAATAATAAAAATACTCCTGTTACTCACGGATATCGTAGCTTTTTAATGGTGAAAGAGTATTTGTAATCGGCAAAGTAGTTTTCGAGTTATTTGTATACATACAAAAATACAAATCTTTTCTCTTTATATCAGTATTGATGGATGAACTACGTACTGGCTGGCAAGGACAGAAGGAAGACTTTTGTTTGATGATGATTGGGTTGTTTATTTATTTAGCTTGAAGCCAAACATTAACCTTGTCTCCCATTAACATGTGAGTGGGACAAGGCCAGGGAGATGTTGATGACTAAATAAAATATATCCAAGCTTTGTTAATAATGTTAATACCAAAATTATATAGAGGAGAGATTTGAACTTTTTGTTTTATATACATTTTGAAATAACTCAAAAACTACTAGGCCGATTTTAAAAATTCTTTCACCCTTAAGAAGTTAGGAGGGTAATTTACCTGGGTGTAACATTGGCTACTTTTTTTTATTATACGCGGACGAAATCGCGAGCAACAAATTACGAATAAACTGTTAACTGTATTTCTCTACATACGAGTACGTTTATTACATTCTTGTCTGTCAATCAGTACTTTGTTGAAACGTGTTGTGAAACATTGATAAAAGTTATGTATTCCTTATCTTAGGAAACAAGCGGTCTTTTGTTTTCTTTTACACAAATATGATCTAACTAATGTTATAAATGCGAAAGTCCAGATGGATGTTTGTTAGAGTTTGTAACATAAACTGATGAACGGATCTCGATGAAAAATGACTTAGACGGAGAGGATAGTCTGGAACGATAGTAGAGCAAGGTAAAACGAGGATAGTAGAACACAGGCTACTTGCTTTTGTTTTTTTTTTTTTTAATTCGTGACATAAATTGAATAAAACAGCTGAGCAATGTATCAAATTATAACATACAAAATATTGAATTTGTTGAACCATTTTTAATAAAATCAGAAAAGTGTTTTTTTCCGCCGTATTACATAATTAAATTACGAAATGTATTTAAAATGTTAATTAGCACGTAAAAAATCAGTTTTCGTGTAAAAAGATTCTTCTTTACCTTTCTCCATATCCAAGTTCACAAGTAAAAGTTATGCGATTACGTCACAAGCGAAAACTGGTTGAAAATTGGACAAGTTCGACTGTTCTTTATAGTTTTCACTACGTTTGACGCTTGTTATTGTATTATTTTTACATAATGTCGTGATCGGACCCGTTTGTTACGTTGTAATTTAACATGTTTGCTTATACATTTCTTTTAAGTCGAATAAGTAGGAAAAGTTTGAATACCCGTTCTGTAATTTAAATAGGCATTTTTTTATTTCTTTCGCTTGCCAAAGACTGAGAAATACAGACATGATAGTCTCTGGTATTTTCTTTAAAAAACTGTTTCGGAGGTACAAACTAACAGCAAATAGCATTATTATAAATGCGTAAGTTTAGATAGATGTTTGTTAGAATAGCCTAAACTGAATGGATCTTGATGAAATTTGGCATATAAGTAGAGCATAGTCTGGAATAACACATAGTCTACTTGTCTTTGTATATTTATTTCTGATAAAGGAGTCACGGGATAAATCTAAAGTAGCTTTATAAAAAACTTTATTATTTATCCTAAAACGTAGTTTCAAATCTTTACTGTTAGATATTTCTAAGTTATCCTCTGCATAATAATAGTGAAGTCATGTTATTAACATTATCTAAAGTACATTAAATTTGAAAATAACCGTTAAATTCTTATCAACAGAACGAGTAAGAACGTCTTTTCTTTCTAGTAGAATAAAGTGAGGTCCATTATTCTTAGAGACAAACTTGCCAAAAGTAATATTTGCAAATATTCTTACTTAGTATTAGAGAAAGCAAGAATTTGAACTTGAAAATAAACGTGTATATCTTACTTTAGTGAAAGCTGCTGTATTATAATATTTACTTGTTTTTTTTTAATTAAAAGCGCCTTTGTTTCATTTGAACATACTGGCTTTGGCCGCGATTCCGTCCGCGTGGATTAAAAAAAACAAAAGTGAGTAGTCTATGTGTTATTCCAGACTATCCTCCACATCTGTACCAAATTTCATCAAAATCAGTTCAGCCGTTTAGGCTACAAACTCTAACAAACATCCATCCATCTAAACTTTCGCATTTATAATATTAGTAAGAAGTACGATTAATAGAATTGGAGTGTCTGACAGTTATCACGATGTGTTTCTATTGCTGAGAATTATATTTGTCTGTCCCTGTTTGTTCCGGATTATGTATAAAACAGATGGACCGATTTTGATTTTCACGGATAGTTAGCTATTGAACACGGGAATATTTAAGGGTTCTTTAAAACCAGCGCTAACAGACGCGTTCGACCGGTAATATAATTTTAATATGTATTGCTTGGAACTGCTGAAACTCTCGTACATGTGTAATATTCCATTCTTCTTTGGAAAAAATAGATAACTATGTTTTTGTATGGTGTGGAAACTCACAGTTTGAATGTTTATACAAAGACGTGAGGTTACCTTGATTATTAATAGTAATGGCTACTATTTAGACTTTCTATTGTTGCTTTAGCGAAAGTCTATGTCTGAAGATGTCTAAGTACTTATCGTTTCGCATTCGTTTGTATCAAACGTTGTGATTCTGATGCCATGAATCTTGTATGACTTGGCATCTAACTGGAATGTACGGATAGAAGAAAAAGTGTACACAAACGTGTTCAATTAATGCATCGGGAAAATTAAATTATTCTATTCGAACGCTTTGAATAACAAATGTACACGAAAGTGAAGTTTAACTTGAAATAGTTGAATAACTTAAGTTCAGATGACATCATGTTGCGGTCAAGTTATGTGAGGAATAATAATTTCGGTATAGTTGTCCAGTTTGGCAACTGTTGTGAATATCAATGAGTTCAAGTTGGCAATGGCAATGTTGTATAATCTTACTAATATTATAAATGCGAAAGTTTAGATGTATGGATGTTTGTTAGAGTTTGTAGCCTAAACGGCTGAAGGGATCTCGATGAAATTTGGCATAGATGTAGAGGATAGTGTGGAAGAACACATAGGCTACTTGCTTTTGTTTTTTTAATTCCGCGCGGACGGAGTCGCGGGCAAAAGCTATTATGTATATCAATGAAAGGTAAAAAACATTCAAAGCCCTATAAAAACTTATACCAATACTCTAAAGAGGAAAGACTTGCGTTTTTGTAATTATATGCATTGAAATAACTCAAAAGCTTTGTCGATTGCAAAAATTCTTTCACCATTAAAAAGCTATATTATCACTGAGTAACGGCCATTTTTTTAATTTCACGCAGGCGAGGTCGCGAATAACATTGAAGAATTTAATAACATATAAAGGATTAATTTAACCTTGAAAGGTTTGTAAAAAAATATTTCTATCAGCATTGAAAGAAAAGTGAAGAAGTAAATTGCTTTTTTATGACACGAAGCTTTCAATTACTGATGCACTTACTGTGTACTATCGATTGGTGACAAAATTTTCAGGAAACTCGATGAGTTTTCCTCCAAAAATTGACCACTTCAGAGATCAATTAAATATAGCCTTGCCAGGCTAGGATTAGGTAACCCGGTTACATTTTTAAAAAAAATGTGCTCCTTCATGTTATGTATCTTTTAGGTTTTATCTGGAAATCTGATGAGGAAAGGAAAAACGCTTTGGATCTTAGCCTATAACATGGTTCTTGTGACAGCAAAAAGGCGTCGTGTCCGGCCCCGATTTGTATCTCATCAGTGTCACATGACACTAAAGTAAGGATTTCTGTAGCGAAAGCGTCATTTGAACAAAAAATAATTGATAAAATTAATTTACAAACATGATTGAAGGAAGCGAAAGACGGAGAGAAAATTACGTAGATAATATAGCACGAATTCTGTAATTAAGGTTACTAGACAGGCTTTTAATTTAAAGTTTTTATCAATACAAGTAACTTAAAATAACTTTGTAAACGCCATGATATTGTTATGTAAAGTTTATCAACTTATGGTCAAGTAAGTCAAGAATGTGTACATTAGAGGAAGTTTGAAAGTAGCGCCAGTGGTGGAAAAATTGAGAAGCAAAAGGCTAGCGTAGTATTGAAATGATATGCAACGAGACGATGGGGACATAAACCAGAAAGTGTTAAGATTG